AGTTTACTGCTTCAACTAGATTTCCAAAGTATCTTGTTTTTCAGCACAGATAAAAAAATGCATATCATTGTAAATTAAATAATGAATATTTATTGTTTCTTGCGAAATCGACCGGCACAAGGCCCAGGGGACGGCCAAGATTAATTTTGGCAAATAAATGGAAAGTGTGTGTTCCAGACTCCAGTTGTCTTCTGCCGAAGCTCAGACTCTTACACAAGATCGGAAACGTTGGAAGCTCTGTCTGACGCGTCTGCCTCCGCGACCCGAAAGGAGAAGCCGCGATAAAAGATGAAGAAGAAGAAGTTATTTACTGTTAAACGGCAGTATGGTAAAAGAACCAAATTTGCTTTTGGATTCAGATCTTCGTCATTAGCTCGAACGAACCTGAACGTAAAAATATCGTTAAGCCAGGCCATGATAATCAAAGATCTTTGTTCCTGTACAAGATATATCGGAGTGCAGGGTACTTAGCATAGAAATTCGAAAAGTACGGTCACCGTCCATATAAATTTTTCGTCAGCGTAATTTGGCCTAAAAGTTAATGTCGATATTTCAGGGCTTAATGGCAGATCCTTTGAATCTTTTGAAAGACTATATCATTTCTGCAAAACCTGTCAAAGAGAAAGACGACTACATCATATTCGGTGATACAGCATTTCCAAAATCGGCTAAGACCAGCTACCGCGTTTATAAGTATGTCAATTTCTCGCCATAGCGTCGTTCTGTAACTTGTTTTGTTGTTTCAATGAACGCAACATTATTTACGCATCTAATTTTCTTTGGTTTTAATGATACAGATTCGCCGTTTTTCTGCTGGGGTGCCGCATGCAACGCTTAATATCGCAGTTAAATTTCATGTCATGATGAAACCTGTGAAATTAGGACACTACATTTTCTTATGTTATTGATTATCCTATGGCCTGAAGTTCAGTTTTAATAGTTTGGGTAGTAGAAAAATGCCGAGGCGGGAAATGCGTCTTTTATAAGGAACACTTCTTTAGTACGTAGCTGTTTATTTCAGATAGTAGACATGCCACCTTAGCAAATACTTGACTCTTATTTGGCATGTTGCTGACATATCCTCGTTGGCCTAGCTGCTAAACTTCTGTTTTTGAATAACGTAATTCATTGCGTATACGTTTAGTTTGCATCTAGCCGTTTAATTTTAGAATTTTTTCCGTTTCAGGGCTGTTCAGTTATTCGTAGTTTTTCAGCACCCTCTGAAATTATCAAGATCCCTTTAATCGCCCTGACCACCAGTAGTTGACAGGATTCTTTGCGATGGCCAGGAATTTATCATAGCGTGTTACAGTTTTTTGACACTTTCAGTTTTCTTCAGTATCTTAAATGCGGTTGTTAGACAACAAGATAAGTCAATATGCTTCGTTTATATTAAAAAGTAGCCCAGGTTAAGACGAAAAAACATTGCAGTCTTCAGAGAAAGCTGATAGACTGGTTGACAAAACCCCTCTTAATTCTTAACTGATTAAGAATGTTTTGCATTATAAAGGAAAAAAACTGGCCATTAAGGTGGAAAGTCGGAATCAGAATCACAAAAATACCAAAGAAGTGAGTAATCGAGTCCTATAATGTCAGTAACCCTAGTTTTTTTATAAGTGATCCATCAGAACCTCTTAAGAGTCTGTAAGTTGCGGTATTTCTCTGCCGAAATACCAACATTTCTAATTTACCGTTTTGCTTTGTGCTGATTGAAACGTGAGCTTTCAGCCGGCATGGATCAGCATGAACTGTAACTTTCGTTAAACTGTGATATGCCCAAATCGGAACACCGTTTATCTATTTCAGCAGTCCATAGGCAGCCAGGTATTGCACTATCTCATTTAGTAGAATGTTAATCATGTAGTTGAAAGACCGCTGTTACGAAAGTCTGTCCGTCTCACTCTCCTTATAAATGAGTGCGTATTACTTTATTTTATGGAAACAATACCGTAGGTCATGCTGGCTACCTTGGTGTAGATGTTCCACATAATGAAGACGCTATTCGCCTGCAGCGTTGAGAAAAGGTTAGTGCTGCGCCGTAAGTTTCATGAAAGTTCAGCGCCACAAATGGCGCTCATCATGGAATTGTCAGTATGAGCTACGTCTCACCCTTACAAATTCCAGTTTTCCATTTTCTATGCGCAGTGTAGGTAAGGTGCCCTAAAGTGAACGGTTGTTGTAATGGCAGTTGCTGTGGTAAGATCATTTCTTCGCGAATTCACGGCTGAAGAAAGTCGATATTCAATGAAACGTTTGTCTGTTTCCATGACGGGTGCTATTTGTCGTAACTCTGTTCTTGGTTTTGAAGTAATCAGCTAGAAGCACCTTAGATTTTTGAAGACTAGCTCGCAAGGTAGTTAGATGGCAAGTTTTTGATGCAAGGTAACAAGTACTGTATAATACGTTGGTTAAACCGCTTATTCTATTCCGTTTGTGGTTTATTGACGACCTTTTTTTCTACGCCTAGTGTGCAAGTACGATTTCAAATCTTAAGGTACTTTCGCTTGCGAAGTACACCAATATGCAGAAATGAAAATTTAGCAGCGTTATATGAACTTTATTTGTATCACGATTATTTGTTGCTTTCTGCGATACCTATGAAATATTGAAATAGAATGTTTGTGCAAGTTAAATGTTTCGATGTTTACTTCATGGCGTAATCTTTAAATTTAGCAAAAGAGATGAATATTACACGCTGGAAAGCTTATACTACTTTTATAAGAAACGGGCCTTGGCACACACAGCCTACGTCAGAGAGGCGGCGGCCAAAAACATTCAGGTCGTTACCCGGCCGGACAGGAAAGTAATATTTTGTGTCTGCTATTGTGTCCAGATTACATGTAACAAGTTTAGTTGCTGGAAGATTATCTGACGAAAGATAAGTTGGAACGATTTCCTGTAAACATCGATCTTAGCGCTCCTATTCCTCAGTCCATACCAGTCAGTCGCTTACAGAACGAGCTCGAAAACCAAGCGGAGTCAAAACGGATGCGATATGACGTAACTTTTGTTAGAATCAATACTTCTGCATAAGTCAGCTCTTTCATTAGGAGGAAGAGCAAGTGCGGAAGGAAAAGGAAAGGATTTTGGCGATTCTGGAAAGAAGTTCCGGACTGTCGGTTGCGAAGTCTGAAGGAGTCGGGTGATCACAAATGAATTTCTCAGTGAAATATTAACCAACGTGTTCTATACATTTATTTAAACCAATACTCAATATGCAGAATTCATTCGCTGCGAACTAACGGGTAAAATTTTTGCTAGTAACGGAAATTCATGTTGTTTCTGCGTCATGTTCGTTATTAATCGACAATGAATTTTGATGCTGTGGCTTTGGGCGCAATTAGTAGATGTCTTATATAATATGACTAATAGCAGAAGTTCGCCTGCAACGTTTCAGCCGTTCAGAATAAGACAAAGTCTCATACTCAGTCCAACAACACACTGTTGTAAGGGTTTTCTCGTAAGTTCCATTATCAACGCTTCTTTCAGCTTCCCTCTGAGATTCCACCACTGTATCTTCGGC